GATCTAGCAATGACTTTTTTAATTATGAAAGCAACTCCATTTTTCCTCACTTTTTCATCTCCAGAGTAATATATCATATGGTCATCTGACTCAAAATGCCCCATGCCAGTCCATCTCACCAATGCCTATTATGTCAATATTTATGCGTTCCATTTCTTCCTTAACAATATCTAATTTTCCTACATTCATAGCAAATTAGAACTTCTAATTTAGTAAATGCGAGGTTGGGCCCAGGAATCTGTATTTTACATATCAGTTTCAGGTGGTTAGGCTATTGATGATAGTGGAGACCCTGGAAGTGCAGATGGTTAATAAGTAAAAGTTGCTGGTTTGAGTGAACTCAGAGGCACCTTCAAAAAAAGACCTGGTGATCTATGTCCAAATTATTGGCCATTCAAAACTCTATGGAGAACAGTTCTACTTCCACAAATATGAGGTTAGAATGAATAGGAATCAAGTTGATCATCATACCAGGGGACACTACTGAGAGCAATTCTTATTTCTAATGTTTCTAAAGAAAAAAGGTAAAGAATCTTTCCATGTGGCTCCAGCGAACAACCAAGTTAAAGCATCAGATTTAGTGCTGATCATAATCGACCACCACAGGAGCAGGGCAGCAAGTGGCAATCTGCTTCCATAAAGATTGTTGTTGCTGTGTGCTGTTGAGTCAACTATGACTCTGTGAACAATAAATCAAAACCTTGCCCTGTTCTGTGCCATCCTCACACGATGTTCTCAGTTATACTTAAAGCCATTGTTGCAGTCAATGCATCAATTCATTCATTGCTCATATGGGCAGTTCTGTCCTCCATGGTCTCAACAAGCTGGAATCACTCCAGAGTAATGGTTTTAAAAAGAATTTGTATTCAATGTTCGCTTCCCCAAAAGGGAAATATTATCTCCTTTTCTCCCCACAACTCTCCTATTCTACTCTGGAGATATTGTAAAGACTAAAGGAATCCTACTATTTACAGAAGACTTAAACTCTTAACAAAGGTGCCAGGTAAATATACTGATTTCCAAGAGCCCCGTCATTTTAGAGTGCAGAAGGCAATGATTTCTTGTACTTGTGAGGCTTGCTGCTCCACAGTGATGGGGATAACTCCTTTATAATCTACTTATCTTCAATCTGGAAGATAGCTTCAGACTGTGGTAACAGAACAATGATATAAGCCTATCTCTCTGTCATCTGACCCTTGATCTTGTTGGTTTTTTTTTAAGATACTGAGGAGGTAGACTAATGACTTCTTGATCCTTTTATATCTTTAGTCTCACTAGACAAGACTATTATAAGCTTAATAAGTCAAGACTTTATAATAAACATAAAGCCACCTAGACCTGATCTACCACACAGGTAGTAAGAATCTTCATTCACAACTGAATGAATATAAACTGTAGCTTGGAATTATAGATTTTTAGTGCTTAAAAAGAACTAAAGCAACATAATATACTCATAATATGTGAAACACATGTTTTATAGTCAACATTACAATAAAATTGTTTTCATTAACAATTACAGCAATTATGTGTTAGTGGTGCAATATTTAAGCATTTGGATGCTGCCAAAAAAGTAGGAAGTTCAGACCAGCCAGT